GCATCTTTGTAATATCCCATATTTAAGTTAATTATAAATAGAATGAGGGGCTGGCGGCTAGGGTTATGCATCACTATCCTAGTCGACCTTCTTCTCCTTTTCTTCCCTTTCCTCTGTCTATTGCTGAAACCCCCAACTTTCTCCTCTTCCTTTCACAAGAAGCTTGGCCGAAATCAGCACATAAGGCTTTCTACTCAGTATTAGCCCACAAAAAATTTTTACCAATGTGAGGTAACATAGTACATAGCCAAGACATCATCATGTAATACTCTTGTACCCACCAGGAGGAATCTGTTTGTATCAGGTTTCTTCTCCTCCCCGGTGATGTACCCCAATATCCCACGAGCACCAATAGCCATCTTGGCTGATTGTGCCCATTCTAAATAATTTGTACCATCCAATTTACCGGTGGACTTATGCTTAGTACTCTCAGCTCTCCATTTCAACTTCAAACAATTCAAAGACTAAAAATAACTAGGTAGAAGGCCCCCAAGATCAAATCGATCTCACACACAAGGGTAATAGACCTTTCCGGAAGGAGATAAGCCTATCCGAAGAGAAACCCCTCTTCTCCCACCATCTCCCACCGAAAAGAAGTAAATCAATCACTCTAGAGGGCTCAGGAACTTCCAGAAACCAAACAGCCCCCTATATAAAACCTTGACAAGTCCAACAAGGTCCAAGCGCCCAAGATCATATCAAAATTAAAGAGTCCAACTTGATTAGGATTCTTCCCCACATTCTAGTTCTTCCTGATTTTGATGCCAAAACACAGATCACCCTCTTGATGACTGAAACCCACCAAAAAATCCAAGAACTAGGCAACCTGAAGTAGATCGATCAGGGATCAGCCCTTTATCTCCTCATGCAATCGGCTGATCTAGGACTACATGGAAGAACTCCAAGAAACCCTAGTCTGGCTTTGATACCAAGTAGAAAAATGCTGAACCAAAGAATATGTAAAGAAAAGATATTTCCTGAAGAAGAAGAAGAAGAAGAAGAAGAAGAGGAGAGAAGAAATTGAAAAAGAAAAAAGAGCAATATCTGGCCGCCCTCCTCACTAGCAGTTATACTTTTAATTAAAAAAGGGCACAATGACTAATATGCCTTTATAGGGCGGGTAACAAATAAAACAGCATATATAACTTAAAAGAACCACTATAAAGGGACCCAACAAGAGTGTTATGCCTTTATACTTTTAATTAAAAAAGGGCACAATGACTAATATGCCTTTATAGGGCGGGTAACAAATAAAACAGCATATATAACTTAAAAGAACCACTATAAAGGGACCCAACAAGAGTGTTATGGTCCCCACTTCCTATCTAAACAATAAATAAACAAAAACAACTATTAATTCTGAACAAGTCTGCCCAAAACTCAACAAATACTAAGAAGTAGAAAACACAAGTGAACTGTTGTCCATCTAGCAAATATCTCATGGAACTTTGATGGAAGCAGCATGGGTAATCCATGATTATCCGGAGTGGGGGGTGCTTTGAGAAATGAGAAGGGAGAGATTTTGTTGCTCTACT